GTTTCGGGTTTTGGGTTTGGGGTTTACAGCTCAGTGCTCAGTGTCTCCCAGAGCGTACTTCACCCAGACCTCACTCAAGCCAACCCCCAAAACCCCTCGGACCCCCAAAGACCCTTCTAAGCTAGGCAAAGCCACCCAGATTTCAAGCCAACCCCCAAACCCCTCAGACCCCCAAAAACCATCTAAGTCAGTCAAACCCTACCTTCCGAAACATATGGCATACAACATCCATACAACACCAAATGAAAAGTAATCCGAGGGTGAGGGGTTGTTGGCCAAACATTTGCCGAATGAACAGCATACGTAAGGCACATTAATTATGTAAAACAAGGTTCCGGCTGCATATCAGCAGCCAGACATGCAACCAAGGGGGTTCCCCAACCCCAAGCTATAACCCCCCTAGAGTTTGGGCTTCATCCTCTTTACCTTACAAAGCTCTACATTCTTTTCTTCATCATCATCTTCATCTTCATCAGTTGCAGTTGAAGCTGAAGATGATTCCAGGACACGTTTTTGATTGTCAGATTTGCCGCAAGCCTAAACCCGAAACCCCTAGACCGTAAACCCTAAAGCCCCTACCTAGACCCGCAGCTACGCCACGCTCCATGATGCCCTAAATACCGACTATGACGGACCGTAAGCGCTCTATTAACGGACGTTTGGGTGCAGCCTGGGCCTAAACCCTACAAGCGTTGCACAGGTTCTCGAGGGAGCAGCGACAGTCAAGGATTGTGGAATCGAGAGCTTCGGTGGCAAATCTTAACAGGGATCCCCTGTATAGTCTAAAGATTATTTCTTGGTATGTTTTTCAAGCAGCATAAGGATTTGAGAATTATCGTTTCGTGCAGATGTATTATTTGCAACAGGAACCAAGACGTTTTCGCACAAGCCTGATCGCAGGATCTGTGGAGATTTTCACAGAGCTTTAGTGCCAATCCCTGATGGTCCATGTACCAAAATAGTAGATACTTAGACCTTAATGTGGTCCCTATATAAGTCCTTTGGGGTCAAAGTATACTCATACGGATACATGGACCCTTTGGGAATTTTAGGGCTCGAGCTAGGAGCACCTAATGTCTGGACTCCGCACCCAAAACCTTGCACCTTAACCCTGAAGTTTTGGAGTTTTCGTTCATTTTCGATTTCTTCGTGTTTGAAAGGGGTCTGAGTACGTAAAAACGCAAAAACCGGACCAATGACTCGAATATGTCTTGGTCAAGGCTTCCTTGTTCAAGGTTGCGCAAGACTAACTTAGCCAATCCATCTGAAAGATTGAAGCCCAAACGCCCCAACCCTAAACCCCTGTTTTGGAGCCCCGTTATTGAAGAAGAGCGAAGATCATGGGTTCTTGACAATTGGGCATATTAAGGATCTTAGTTGCTATACAGCTCTCAAGAATACTTGTTCCTTTCTTTGGATTACTTTTGTTTTTTTGGGGGATCTGCACAGAAAAAGCCGCACGCAATTATCAATGGGAGTAGACCCCTAAACCCTAAACCCGAAGCCCCTAAACCCTAAACCCTAAGCCCTAAACCATATAAGACCCTAAACCCTAGACCCTTAGCCCTAAACCCT